TGCTTCTAGCATTAAGGAGTCAGTCATTCCCTAGGGAATTTGCTTACTTTGTGGTACATTTATATATATACAAATTGGTCACTCCATTATTACTATAAATTTCGTTTGGCAGAAATATAGTATGAACTTCAAGTTCAATATTTATTGCGTGGTCTGAAATAATTTATATTTCACATATTTCACGGCATTAATAAACTTATGCTCATATCTCCCCCTAATGCCGTGAAATCATCTTCATATATTATGCAAAACACGTACCAAATAATAAACTGATCCCCTATAATGGTCTCTAGGTATTAAAATTTCGACGGAGTATAAAAATCATAGCATACCTAGTTTGTAATATAGGCCCATAAAGGTACGAATTGGTGGTGACATAAAATTAATAAATTGCAGATGGGAAATTTTCGATTCTCCACGCATTTTATCATAAATAATTGCCCAATATGATCCAACTGCTCATGCTAATTATCAAATATATAGGTTGGGCATCGAAGTATAATAATTTATTTATAAGTGAACACTATATGCTTCAGGCACTACAATTAAACTTTGATTGGGAGCCTTTTATTGTAGCTATCAACTATATTATGTGCTTCGGGCACGACATATAAATTTATTATTGTAGCTATCAACAATACAAGCCAATGATATGCATCTTATCAAATATACAAGCAAACTTAAGTAATTTAAGAAAACTTGTATATTGATTCAATCTTGGTAACATTCTAGTTACATAATTTTATCAGAGTATATTGAATATGCAGAGCTGATCTAAAATCAAAAAATCATGAATTCATCCAAAACTCACTAGATTATTTACTAGATCAATCTTTCAAGGATACTGGCTAGATAATTGTTATGCGATTATTATTCTGGTCAACCAGACCAATCCTTCAAGGATATCCAAATCTAGGTCAATAAGGTATTCAAATTCACTAGTGATACTTTTAATTATATAATCCTTCAGGGAAACTCAAATCTATAAGCATAAAATTCAACAGGATATTGCTCTGCAATTCATGATAGGATTAAGAAAAAAATAACTATACAAGTTGCATACTATTCATTTGGTTCATTAGTCAATTAGACTAAAGTTCAAGATATTCAAATTGATTTAGGCTCAATAAATTTGGATCACGTCCATACTCAATGCATAAAATAACGAAACAAAGTATGCAACTATAATTTCCAAACTAAATTCATGTGTAAATACATATTTTGATAGTTTAACCATAATGTTCCAAACAACATAAACAATTTACATTTTAAAATTAATCCACGTATGTTTCATGCGTATTCAGATCCATGGACGAATAATGAAATATGTCGGTATTTTTATTTTATAACTCTTCAGGAGTATAATAATTGAAGTATGAGAGCTTTCATTCTATAAGTTAATATAATATTTTTCGTCCATCATCTAAAGTAATCTTTATCTAACGGATAATGTCTACTGGACATATCTTACGTGTGTTACCAACTCCAAATCTTAACAAGTAATGTCAAGAATAATATGACACATATAAAAAAAAAAAGAGATGCTCATATAAGACAATTAAACCAATGAAACATAGTCATATAGAAGAGAGAAAAAATTCTATCAAATATCTCATATGACAAATTGTACTTTTGTACATGTGCTTCTGACACTAATACAATCTCAAATACTACTTTTATATCACTATTCTTAAAATATTGTGCCCATGAATATTGATTTGGTTGGATTTCATTATTCTCATGTATTACTTCAGGAATACAAATAATTCATAACATATCATAAAATATTTGATCGCATCTTAATTCAAAATTAGTCATCTAGACTTACTCAAAGTGTAATTATTCTTTTATTTCGATACTTGTATCGGTGTTGATCCTTCAGGGAGTATATCAAACTTTATTGCTGACTTATAAAAGATCCTTCAGGGAGCGTATAAGAACTTTATTGTCAACTTACAATCTTTTGATAAATAAAATATTGATTGACATCTTATTGACAAACGAGCATTATTATAATCGTTCTATCCATCAATGTTTAATATTAGTGTCCTTCTGGGACTTCTAGTATTCAGTTGAATCTTATACATTGGGATATATAGATATTCTTTAAATAATACGCCATCATTTTCATAATGGCACAATTTTATCTACTCATACAACCATATTATAAAGATGATCATAAATTGAGCTATGCAGCATCAATACTTTATATCCAATATTTCCACTATTTTTTTTTTTTTCTTAAGAATCAAAACACAAATACCTATATCATGTCCAAAATAAAACATATTTCAAAAATTCCGAATCCAATCACCATGCTAAATCCACAACAATTCATGGGGCACTATTGGGAGTTCTCAGTAAACAAATCACGTTGTCTGATGGAAAAAATAAATAAGGTTCATACTTAATTGATTCAAGTGTAGCAGAGTTCTCGAGGCAATAAAATAAATCATGTTCTCAAGTAATATAAACTGATTTTGCTTAAAATAATCAAATACAAATTCATTCAAACTACTATGAACCACAAATCAAATAATTGCCTTAATACCCAATTTTCTACAAATTCTGAGACCACAATTTGAATATAAAACACTAATATGACACAGAAATTGAAACTTGGGCCACATTTTGATCTTGAACATTTATATATATATAAAAAAAAAAAACAATCACATGAATATACCATTACAAAGCAATTGATCAGAGGACATTTGGATAAAAAAAAATATCAATCACATGAATATTTGTTCCTCCTATAAATTAGTATATCAATTACGACATCTCCAAGAATTCGATTTTATCTGAATATTTATATCCAACATCACAGGATAAAAATCCATATGTTAACATATATTCACGGAACTGAACAGTAAATCCCAAAAGCGAAATAATAATTTCATATCGCAACCAGAATCGATAAATATAATAGATCATATTGATATGAATAGATCTTGAATGTTACCTTGACAGAAAAGACATGATTCTTTTCTAGGGCATAAATCAATTCTTGATTGTTACCTTGATTGCCCGTTCATATTGATGCCGCCGCCGTTCGCTCAGTTGGTTTGAGTACTCGTGCTGATAACGTGTTGTAATACAAATTGTCAATATAGAAGATCGTTGTGTAAGATAGATAGACAAAGAGAGAGAAAGCAGTAGAAGATTAAGAGAGAAGAGATACGCCGTAAAGCCATCATCTTATTCATTCACTTGAGCCCTATTTATAAGAGAATACAGTGTACATGACTAAAGACCTAATGGGCTCCTGGCCCATACATACAAAGACTACATCTAGGTAATGTCCAAAAATTAATATTTACAACAAATACTTATTACTTCAAAATTGTATTACATTATTACTCTTCCTAGATTATATTGGATGATCTTTATAATTGTTGAGTGCTTTCATACATGTTATACTTGTTACCTAAATGCAAATCAATATGTATAATTGCAGGATGCTTGGATATAATTTTTTTTTTATTTTATTTGGAGTTTTGGTTCGGTGTGGTTAAATATGAAAAATGTAGAATGATTAGTTGTTTGTGGTTATTACAATGAATTTAAATAAATTAATTAAAGTTAATTTGATGTAAAAAATAGGAGAAATATGATTTGAAGTGATGACGAGTTAAAATTATGTGAGTGTATAAATAGTGAACTAAAGTTGATGTAATGTGTAAAAATGATTTATTGATATTATTTAATTATATTAATAATATTGAAATAGTGAGATTGAGTTAACATTGAGTTACCAAAGTGATCGAGATAAAATGTTTGATTTTGTTTTGAAATTGTTTTGTAACCAGACATCCTTAGAGTTTTTATGATGCTTACATATATCAATTTTGTATCCGAGCATCCTTTAGTTTTTTACTTGTGTTGTCAACCTAGTTGTACACTAAGTTGGCAATGTAGCATTTCTAGAAAAAAAAATTCTCTGTATATTTTAGGAAGATGCTACATTGTCATTCTAATGTACAACTAGATTGACAACACAAACAGAAATATCCACAAAAATAAAAATAAAAAAATACACAATTGAATGTTTTTATTTATGTTGTCAACCTAGTTGTACATTATGTTGGCATAGTAGCATTTTTCTATATTTTATGCCTACAGTCCCGTTACGGAACCATCCCGTAGAGGTTTGTAACCGTTAGATCACCTATCTTCGACGGTTACATAATGATCTAACGGTTACAAATCCCAACGAAATGGTTCCGAGACCGTAGCATTTCCCTATTCTTATAATAGCTTTTTACTTTTTAATTTTTATTATACAAACTAGTACAATACCCGTGTATTACACGGGTGCTTGCTAATTTTTTTTCTTAAAATATAAAATTAGTGAAAAAAGGTAGTTGAAAATTAAGTATCTTTTAAAAATAATAATATTATTATATTTAGTATGACACTTTTTATTTGTACGATTTATTTGTGTTATATTATAATAATTTTTTAACTTACAACATATTATAATATATCAATTGAGAAATAATTTTATTTTTCTAATGAATTTTAGTAAATATTATTATTTTTTATTATTATAAGGATAAATATAATTTATTTATTTTACATATACAATATGGATGTCAAATCGAAGATCATCAAAAGATTATTAATTTAATATATTATATATGTAAAACAGATAAGAAATACAAAAGTTATCAACTTTTAAAATACATTTAAAATTTAATAGCTAATTGTAGGAAACAAATCAAAAGCAAGGGATATATTGGTCACATAGTGACTCACTATCTAAAATTACAAAGAATTAAAGGGTTATATTAGTACAATTGATATTAAAATACCTAAGTTAGCTAAATAGTATTTATGGAATGCCCGAACCTAGATTATTAATTATTAATATATAATATTTTTTGTCCAAACCTAACTACGAAGCATGATTCTTCGCCAAATAGGATTCTGAAGCACCAGAAACAGCCACGTAGGCTGTTTCTGAAGCACCAGAAACACACCATGAGAAGTTGTGAATGGGTTGTGAGATCTTTACGGATCTTGGGCTAGGAAAGTCCCCGGGCCGTTTTCCGCAGAGATGCGGGCCCAACGATGGGGCAAGTCTTAGGCATTGGGTGAGCTCGGCTGAGACGTGTGTGGAGCCATATGGGCCGCCTTGTCGAGATGTATTTGGCCAACTTCTACAGTTATTCACAAGGTTGTATAAATCTTTGTGTGGATCACTGATTTCTACTCCCTTGTCTGTCGGCCTGCTATTGACCGAAAAACATTCTCTCGCTATCTCTTTCTCGTATGTCAGCGATCCACACTCATGTCCGTACTAAAACGTATGATGTCATGTCTATTCTATTCTTCTATTAATTGCTTTAGTGGCAAATTGTACTTCTATACGGGTCTGTCATTCAGAACGCAAGCCTTTAAGCGTTCTGATCCTCTTTCTTAATTATACATCGATCTGTAAAACTGATGAGGACAGCTAACAATTGTGGTTCGACTCATCGTGACTCGGCTCCTGACGAGGCGGCACATTGCGTGCGGTATGCCACATGCGGTTTACCCACTACCCGGGGCCCACGGGCGCGGAATACCTGCATGCGGTACCTGCGTGCGATGTACTTGCAGGGTCAGAGTCGCCCGCAATCACAACAAGGTCGCGTCCACGTCTTACGTTAGTAGCCTTATTATACTGCGACGTACAACTTTGAATGGTGCCACGGCCGCTGACGCAGGGGCGTTCTTGGGCCACGGCTAACGGAATCGGTGCATTGACTGGTAGGATTGACGGACGCACGGGCGTTGGGCAGAGCGCAGGGGCCATGCTAATCTTCTCTGTATCGTTCCAATTTTATCAGATGTCAGCGCATTCGGGAATTATATATAGGGGTGAGGTGATATAAACACCCGGTGCCGGCGTGTCATTTTCCCAACACTTTCGACTCTCACAGGCAACAATGCAGAACACGAAGAAAAAGAAGACTAGCGGGCAAAACAAACCAGCCAAAACTGTACCAGAATCCGGACGGGGACCAGATTCCGATCAATGGGCGTTCATCACCACCAGGAGCCCGATCTCCTGGTTCTTCTGCGTGACCCTCTTCGCCCTTCTGATTCGCCTCGCCGTTGCGCTCCACCCCTACTCTGGCGCCCAAACGCCGCCGATGTTCGGAGATTACGAGGCTCAGCGCCACTGGATGGAGATTACGGTCAATCTTCCAGCTAAGGAGTGGTACCGCAACAGCACGAATAATGATCTTCGGTATTGGGGCCTCGATTACCCCCCGCTGACTGCCTACCAGAGTTATTTCCATGGCCTCCTGTTAAAGTACTTCGATCCTGCATCAGTCTTGCTCCTCACCTCTCGTGGATACGAATCCTATCTTGGGTATTTAATCTTTCAATTTTAGATATTGTGTTTTCTGATGAATACTTGATATTTTCATGGGTCATAATATTCCAATGTTGCGATTTTTTTTTTCTCTCTCTAAGCATCAAACTTATTAGCTAATTAAGGATTGAAACTGTGTCTTATCCTTCAATATTTTCTTGGTGTAGCTGAAATTGAACTTAGATGTGCTGAAATGCGGAAGGTATATATAATGAATTTTAAGAATGTAACTGGGTTTGGGTTCTGAGCACGGACTGATTTCTACTTTATGAAGACTATTAAATTGTTGAGGGATGTTCTGCTGCTCCACAAGAGAAATATGCGTGGTGATACGGGACTGAAAAAGCTATAGAGTTAGATTTGAAATATGAGGACTTCATTATTATTGTCAATTAGGATCTCAGTTTCTATATGCTGTTTCTCATATTCGCGATGTTTTTGTGTAGGAAGCTGTTGATGAGGTGGACAGTTCTGATGTCTGATCTGATGATCTTCTTTCCTGCAGTGTTTTATTTTGTAATTGTCTATTACTCTGGGAAACCCAATGAGGAAAAGAGCGGTATGGCCTGGCACGCTGTAATGATTTTGTTGAACCCATGTCTCATTCTGATTGATCATGGCCATTTTCAGGTAGGCAATAAGATGCTCGACGATGAATTTGTTTACATTGTGTAACTATAGAATGTATTACTGCAATTAACTTTCTTCCTTCTTTTTCTCCTTTTTTTGGGTTTCTTTCGCCACCATTTTTGACGTCTTGATTCCATTTTCTTCCAGTACAATTGTATTAGTTTGGGGTTAGCCATAGCAGCTGTTGCTGCTGTTCTATCAAATAGAGACCTTCTCGGTTCTATGCTCTTTTGCCTCGCTCTCAACCATAAACAGGTGCTTCTCATTTTTATTTATTTTTGAATTTTCTCCCATGTTGTCAGATTTTGTTTGTCTAGTTGTGTGACTACATAGGCCGTAGTTTTAAATGTTTCACATGTCTCAATTGCTATAACCCAGAAACTGCTATATAAAAATGGATATGTAATTGCCCGAAAGTTGTATTCGACAACCATTTCCTCCTTGTTGAGTGAGCACGATATATCTACTGTAAGAATTTTGGCAGTGGAGGATTCTTTTCTTCACTTCGTTCTTTATATTCCAGTTTAAAAATTTCAAGGTTTCTACTTTGGTTATTTGCATCATTTCAATTGTTGATCATTTGCCTTTCTGCCTTCTTGTGTTCAACTTTATAAGTTAGTAATTAGAACTCATTTTTTGGGATGGCAATTGAGTATAATCTGTGTGGTCATGATGTTCTCTTATTAGGTCAAAATGTTAGTTGACCAGCTTTTTATGGTTCTTAACTTCTTCATTTGGTTGCCTAGATTGGACTATTAATCATCATGTGCCTGACTTTTCCGTGTCAACATAGCTGATTTTTAATATTTGTGTGTCATGATAAAATTGGTTGATACGATTTAAAATTGTTTAAGAAAAAGCACGAGTGATTAAATAGATCAGGGTCCGAGCCCAATTATCCAGGACACTATGATAGCTAACAATCTCGTGATATTATTTGTGATGTATTACTTCAATCATCCCATCAAATTCAATTAAATCTTGGATAAATTTTGGAAGCATTGATTATTAAGGAAATTTTTACCTTTTTCTGTTTGTATTTGTTAGGGGGTACTTAGGTGGGGTAGAACATTAAAAGCCTGTATCAAAGGCTTTCAGAAATTATGTGCTTTCCAATTAGTGGTTTGTCTAGTTGTGTGACTTCATGGGGCTGTAGTTTTTTTTGTCTCACTTGTGTCAATTTCTTTAAACCAAAAATTGCAATATATAAATGGAATTGGAATCTCCTGAAAATTATATTTTGTAACCATTTCCTCTTTTTCTTAGTAAGCTTGATATGTACACTACATATTATCTACTATAAGAACTTGGGAGGTGGAGGATTCTTTTCTTCCTATGTTTTTAATCCCTCTTTAAAAATTTCAAGGTTTCTGTTTTGTGTTATTTGCATCTTTGCAGTTGTTGATCATTTACCTTTTTGATTGAGAAAGAACTTTGTGGTGGCTATCTTTCTAAGTTAGCGTAGTTCAAAGTGAATTTTTTGGGATAACACTGGTAAAATTAGTGTGATCATGAGGTTCCCGTCCCGTATTAGGTCAAAATGTTAGTTGACAAGCTTTTATGGTTCATTTTTTCTCTTTTCATCATTGCTGCGTGTGCCCTGCACAGTTGATAATACTTGTGATGAAAGCGGTTTGGTTGTTCCATTCTTAAAAAGGACAATGCCTGTACTCGTAAAGTACAGTAAATCAATCTTATAATAAAGTAATAAATCGAATTTTGTTGAACATCATCTGTATGTGATATAATTGGGAGTAGCAGGTTATTCTGCAGCAATATGACTGTATGCGACAGGAAGGTTGTTATTTGTTTTCCTAAAATGTTATAATATCTCTATCCATTTGATCGTAAAATGGAATTGTAACAAGCCTGAAAAATTACATTCTGTAACCATTTCCTCTTTTACTGAGTAAGCATGTTATGTACTCTACAGATTATCGTCTGTAAGAACTTTGGAGGTGGAGGTTTTTTTCTTCCCATGTTTATATATATATATATATATTCTACTTTAAAAATTTCGAGGCTTCTATTTTGCTTTATTTGCATTGTTGTCGATTGTTTACCTTTTTGATTGAAAATGAATTTTGTGGTTGCCATCGTTCTAACATAATGTAGTTCGAACTCAACTTTTTGGGATGACACTTGGGTAAAATTGGTGTGGTCATAAGGTTCCCCTTTCCTCTTTTAGGTCAAAATGTTAGTTGACCACCTTCTATGGTTCGTTTTTCTCCTTTCCATTCATTTTTCTGTGTGTGTCCTGCATAGTTTATAATGCTTGTGCTGTAAGCATTTTATTGTTTCATTCCAAAAAAAAAAAAAAAAAAAAATGCCTAACTCATAAAATACAGTAAATTGATCTTATCATAAACTGAATTTTTGATTGAACATCATCTGGATAGGATATAAATTAGAGTAGCAGGTTGTTCTGCAGCAATATCTCAACAGGAAAGTTGTTTGGTTTTCTAAAAGATGATACTATCTGGTCCCAGTTGATCGTATTTTTCCAGGACTTATACAAGTTCCCTTGAAGATAATGGATATTGAACTACATGGAATATGGTTTCTCTGTCTAAGAGTAATTTTTGGTCTCCAAATCTGAACATGTTTATGGTTCATCATTTTGTTTTTCATTTTCTTCCCTTTTGGCTTTCAGATGAGTGCATATTATGCACCTGCCTTTTTTGGCTATCTTCTGGGCAAGTGTTTGAGGCGCCAAAATCCGATCCTTGAAGTCTTAAAACTAGGTTTGGTAGTGTTGGGGACCTTTGCTGTAATTTGGTGGCCGTATCTTTATTCAGTGGATGCATCCTTGGAGGTAATTTACTTTATTATATTCCTTGGTTTCTTTTCTGATTCATAGGTTCATTATATTTTCTCCTGATCATATAATGGGCTCTGTCTTCTTGACTTAGGATATGCATTTGCTGTAGCACCTTCTAAGGTCTTACGAGCGGCTTATAGCATTTTCTTTTTACGTTGCTTGGTGTACATATGACATGCATTTTGTGTATGATTCATTATTCAAGTTTTAGCAGGATGTTACAAAAGGACTTGAATGTACAAAAGTTTCACATATTTATAACCAACCCTAAAACTGTTAGAAGTTATTACCCATTTCCTTCAATTAGTTGATACCAATTTTCCATCGCAGTTCGATATTTTCAATCAGCCTTGGTTGTTGGGAACAAGGGATTAAATTGACCTCAAAGTGCTAATGTGCAGTGGCTTTTGAAATTGCTCTTATTGTATGAATATTTGTTTCTTGGTAAGGGACATTATATCGAGTTCCCATGACATAATTGTTCATCTTATGGTTATTGCATGTTTACTTGAGTACTAAGAATCACAAGTTACCTAGAACTGAAAAGATAACTATACTTGCCCGTATTTGGTGACTCATAGCTCTAACTGGTGCTTGGAACAGGTTCTTTCTCGCTTAGCCCCCTTTGATAGAGGAATTTATGAAGATTACGTTGCCAACTTTTGGTGCACAACCTCAGTCCTGGTTAAATGGAAGAAATTATTCACTACCCAGTCACTTAAATTTCTCAGTCTCACTGCAACTGTTTCAACTTTTCTTCCTTCTATGATTCAGCTTGTACGGTCGCCAACCAAACATGGCTTTCTTCTTGGGTTGCTAAACTCCTCTTTCTCATTTTATCTATTCTCATTCCAGGGTAAGTAAAACAATTCTCACGCCAAATCACTCGTCCTCCCCTCCTTTTCAGTCGCATTATTATTATTATTATTATTATTATTATTATTATTATTATTATTATTATTATTATTATTATTATTATTATTATTATTAATGGTGGTTGAATTTCACAGTACATGAGAAATCAATCCTGCTACCACTTATGCCGGCAAGCCTCCTGGCCTTGGAAGAACCATTTGTTTTTCGGTGGTTGATATATCATGCTATGCTGTCCATGTTCCCTCTCGTGTGTCGTGATCAATTGGTACTTGCATATGGTGCTCTGTATGGCCTTTTCATCCTCCTCTACCATGCGCCCCGTGGAAGGAAAGATACAACCGAGACCGGTCCCTTTCCTTCCATTTTGAAGTCATTTGCACTTGCCTGCTCCTTTTCCCTTCATATTGTCTACTTGACTGTTACCCCTCCGCATAAATATCCCTACCTCTTGGAAGCTGTGATTATGCTGTTCTGTTTCTCGCAGTTTGTCTTGATTTCGATATATTCAAATTCGAAACAATGGGTGGTTTCTAGGACTTCTCGAGTGGATGACAAAAAGAAGAGCCTCTGATGTGTACTTCTGGAGAACAGGTAATTTTGCGAGGCATGCCAGAGTTTTATGATATTCAGAAAGTTGGAGGAATTTGAGCCTGTCGTCTGAGGCTCTTATATAGTCTAGTAAGTAGTATGTCACTAATCATAATCTGAATTTCAACATCTCATTCCTCGATATACTTCAAAATTTTGTCTTACGACAAGTGACCCTGTGTCAAATTTCAACATCACAATCCTTTGACTGAATTTGGAGTTTCTTTTTTTCTTTCTTTTCTTTTTCTTCTTCTCCTCCTGAACACACTCACTGATCGAATTTTCCTTAGTCTGTTGAATTTGTATCGGCCTGAATTAGTGAGGTACTGAAAAGGCTCTCTTTTGAAAAATTGACTTGCCTACAATAGAATCTTTGGGGAAACCGGTTCGTGATATATGCATGAAGTGCTTGTTTCTCTTCTAAATCTGATCAAGAAGCTATTGAGAAGGCGTGGAATTTTTCGATTTAGCCAATCAGACAGTTGGCCTTTGAAAGATACAGATCTCAAATAATTCATATTATGGTGTGCTCATTTTGATTTTTTTTTTTTTTTCAAAATTTGGCTCTAATACTCTATACATGAACTTAAAACACAAAGAAAATTATACATTCATAAGTTGTTCTCATTTTGTAGAAAAGTGGTCCAGAGAGATTCGGTGGCGATTCATTTTCGAGAAAAATAAAATTTCATGTGCTGGAGTTGGCCACAAAAAAGTCGTGTGCCCGTCCCGTGTGGTGCCTTTTCTTATCATATCATTGATAGTCTCGAGTTTCTCTTTGCCGTCAAGTATAGTTTGAGGTCCTTTCCGTGATTGATTTGATGTTCCCTTTCCATTTAATTTCACAGTAAATGTGCAGTGATGGAGTATGCTGAATTAGGTACCTCCCACTCAATGCCCAAATTTGTCATGTTGCAGCCTTGCAGGTTAACGATATAGACAAAATTGCAGAGTTGTGTAAGAAAATTTTAAGAAGTAAATTTTATGATGAGCTTTTTTTTTTTTTTTTTTTTTTTTTTTTTTTTTTTTTTTTCAAAACGGTAGATATTATAACAAAACACATAATTACAGCTAGAAATCAATTAGAATAAGTCAATCAGCTATCTAGCCGAATCTAGGGAGGCCTATACAAAGTAGGCATCAGAACAACTACGCTAGCTCACCCACAACACAAACAAACTAAACAAAACTAAAAGCACTCCCACCGGGGAGAATCAAACTTCAACAAGAAAAATATAACAAACTAACCCACAAGGGTACAAAAAGAAAAAACATACAAACAAACACTATACGCCACAAAATTAGAAAAAATGAAAAAACACACAACAAATACAATACTAGAATAAAGCCCCCTTCCAACCGCAGACAAATGACCACGCAAACGGCTGCCCGACACCTAGAGACGACCCGCAAAAGGAAAAGAAACACATCTCGAAAAAAGACCCAAAAACTCTGTCAATCGACTAACTGAACCCTTCACCGAACCAAACTCTTTACCCGATCGGGCCACCCCCCGAACAATAACTGGAGCACCTCTCTCTTACCCCACAGACCCAAGCCACCCTCGGCTAGCACTCACACACACCCCTCACCAACCAAATTCGACAACACCTGCACAGAGCTGCGTACTGAAAATGGGGGAAGAGAGCCACACCCTACCCCGACCAACTCACCGGAGAAGGCCAGAGTCAGTCGATCTTCCACGCCACGACTTTTGTCAACACCTCCACCATCGAGTAGACAACTGGAGAGCTCGGCGAGACCCTACCGCGGAGAGGGTCGCCTACGTCTGACATGGAGAGTCGCTCGGCTTGATCGCCGCCGCAGCGCCGCTGAAGGTGCTATATGAGAAAGCTGTGACAGAAGACTTAGGGTTTTCGCTGGATTTGGGGGAAAAGAAAAATTATAGAGAGAAAAAAGTTTAGCTCTAGAAACTGACAATGTTTGCCCCAAATGAAAAAAAAAAAAATTATTATAATCTGAATGTTGTTGTTTAAAGTCATTATAATCAATACAAAAAAATAATTTAAACCCTATAAATAAATTAATCCAAAAAAACAATATAAATTTGCTCAACTCAACTGGAGTGAGCTAGCCGACCATGCCCTAACTGTCTAAGACGAGCAGATTCAATGCATGTATGGGTGGATCAAATGAGTCCACTCCTTAAAATTACTATATAACATTCAATCTTAGCCATTGATTTTGAGTATATCAATGACACATATTAATCAATTGAAATATAAATTAATTATATAAAAAATATTATTATTATATTAAAATAATTATATAATAAAAAAATAATAAATTTATTTAGACTGCCCGCCAGCCGTTGACCGCCAAATTGCACGCCCCTTCGTCGAAATTTCGCATTATTTGCCGTCGACGTGGTTTGCCGCTGCCCACCACCACCACCGTCACCAAATTCACAGCCCATCTCATGGGCTTTGCTGCAGCCGTCTTCAACACAGGTTCGCCACTGATCAAATTTCGCAGTTACCTAATTTCGTTGTCGTTACCAAATTCTAGAAGTCGTTACCAAATTTCACCTCCACCTGTTATCTCGAAGTCGTACGCCCGTCCTCGTCGTAGCTTCAGCAGCTCTTCCACCTACATGACGCTGGCCTTCATCGTCGCGCTCCTTGTCTTCCCGTACGAGGACATCGTTACAGGGTCGTCGACAAAGCCCTTCGAATGCGTCGTGTGCATGTGAAATTTCACAGATCACGATGGGCACTAGCAGCTATGAGAATCTTCTTTTTTGCTTTGAGGATTTCGGCGATGACGGGGGCGCTTTGAGATTTTCGATGAAGGTGAGGGTGGGAACGTCGTCGTGCGAAAAAAAGTTTTCTCAAGGGGAGGAGGGTTTTTTGGGTTGACAACAATTTGGGGATAGGGGCTTGGGTTTGGAAATTAGATAAATTATGAGGATTTTCATGCAATTTTTGCTAAACACCGCCCCCTATTACTATTTACTGCCCCTTTGGAACAAGTTACCCCTATCATACAAGAGTTTTATTATATTTCAATTTAATACATAGGTCAAATATGTAATTTATAAAAAAAATTATATTAAAGAAATATTATTTTTACACACACACACACACACATATATATATATATATATATATATATATATTGAATTTTCAACAAAAATATATAAAACTTCAAATAAAAAGTATTAAAATACTAAATATTTTTATATATAAATAATAAATTAGTTAGATTATTTAGGTTAATTCGATTAACTAACCGAATAATCTGATTATTTATTCAATTTTAGTTTGGATTTGCACATAAAAAAACTGCAGTGCATAATGCGCTGTAGTATTAAACAACATGCACATTAGTGATATTCAGACTGCACAATACTGTTAGACCAAAGCATGTTAATGCGTTTGATCATGCGCATTATCATAACAGTGAATTCCGCTTGATGACACGCGTGACATCAAATAAAACACTGCTGTTATGCTAGTGTCTATTTTCACAAATATTAGAACTTTGGTTATTTGTTTCTGTATTGGCTTTATGTACAAAGAAAAATAATTAATAGAACCGACCGAACTATACAGAAAAATATAGTTTTATATTTTACCTATATTTATATTATTTATTTTAATAATATAAAATAATTAAAATAATTAATATAAAAATAATAAATATTTTTTATATTTATATTGTTTATAAAATAATAAATATGTATTTTTTACTATATAATTAATAAATATTTATATTGTTTATAAAATAATGAATATAAATTTATATACTAAATAATTATATTTCTATTGTTTATATTTATATTGTTTATACTAAATATTTATACTAAATTTATATACTAAATATTTATACTAAATTTTTTACTAAATAATTAATAAATATTTATATTTATATTGTTTATAAGATAATAAATATAAATTTAATATACTAAATATATTTTTGTTATATAAATAATTTGATAAATGGATGCTCTCTTTTCTTAAGCCCTAATTTCTCTCGTCTCGTTTTCTCTCAAATCCGCTGAAGTTCGTGATCTTCTTTCTTGTTTGTGTGTCTTTCCCGGTGGGAAGCCAGCTGGCCCTAGTATGCACGGCTTGGCCCAATTATGCAGCGCTCCTTGTCAGTTTAAGCTAGTGGAGGCAGGCTACAGTCTGGGGCTAGTTTTCGTCGTGTGGCGCTAACTTGTGGTAGTAGTTCGTCGGCCTCCCTAAAGTCGAGGTCGTGTGGGGTGGTGGTGTGTTGTTAGGGGCTAGGTGTGGCTCGGATCGCTTGCTACTTTTTACGTCGGGGCAGCTAGGGCTGAGGAGCGGCGTCTATCGCTCCATATTCCATTGTTTTCATGGCGAGGGGTTGAGGGGTGGCCATAGCTACCGGACCTTATCCAGTCGTGTTGGCCGGGTTCGACGTGGTGGTGGTGTGAGAGGGGGGGAGGGGGGTGAGTTTGTTGTTCCTCTGGCTGTGGGGCAGGTCTTCTACCTAGAGTGGTTCGGTCTTTGGGATTCAGCTTCAGTTATGAGTTTTTTCGGCAGTTTCAGTCGCGGTATCTCGAGCTACAATCCAGTTTGTTGGGGTGGTCGGCTGGGGGTCCGTTGGTGCTTAGTGCTGGGTTTGGTTTGCCTGTTTTGGGAAGGGCGCTAGTTTATTTAGTTTGTTTGTTTAGGTTTGTTTGTTTATGTTTTATGTTTTAGGTGATGTGTTTTTCTTCATTTTTTTTTTCGAGTGGAAGCGGGTATTATCTCGTGGGATCACTGATTCTTCATTATTGGAGCTTTGCAGTTTTTTGTCATGCCATGGGTGCGTTTTCTAGTGTTGCTAGTTTAGGTTCTAGGCAATCTTCAGATATGTCCTCCCATTTTTATTAGGCTTTTTAGCTGTCTCATTCTGCTGGGCTTGCTTCATTTGTTATACATTTGTACCTTTTTTATGAAATTTCTATCTTTTTTCCTGGTGCGGGGTTGGGGGGTGGTCGTAGCTGTGGGACCA